TGCATAGCAAATGCGTGTTGCACTGACAAAACGGGGTCATGAAGGTCCCTTTTCCTCCCACTCTTCCTTTCCTTTTTACCAAACTCCCTACTGGGGTCTGGGGCCACACATGATACGAAAGGGACAGGGTGCTGGTCCCTCACACCTGCAGAGCAATTGTGCACACAGTCTGTTTGAGCCTGACTGTCACCTTCTTATTCCCACATCACAGACATGGCAAGTGACTTGCATAGGAATTCATAAAGCTGGGACTGAAACCAAGGCGCTCTGCTCAAAATACCGTGACCCACCCACTCTGTGTGAGGACAGAGAAGCTCCATCTTCAATCTGTTGCCTTTGCACAAGAGCAGTGCAGGGGCAGGACGAACCACCCTCCTTGGTTCTAAAGGTGACAGCCCCAGGCAAGGCAGGGAAACCAAACAGTAGGGCATGGGGTAGGTGGTGGCACTAGAGGCTGGGAGTCCAGATTCAAGTCCCAGCTTGACAGACAAAAGCAAACCCGTTGGATTTGGGTCACTGTGAATAATTCACCTCTGTACAGAGGACCCAGCTCAGAGCCACAGAGATGCCCATCAATGCTTGATAAACGGTTGGGGAGGATGACAAGTCCTGAATGGAGGAAGTTCTACCGTGGTGGGGCGCTGCCGGGAAAGAGCAGAGACACCCTTGAGACATGGGCCAGGATGCTTTTGGGCAACAGCCAGGCAAAGACAAGAGAAATAGCACAGGACCAGGAGGAAAGAGACCAAAGAGGTGAGTATAGGAAGCACGGGAGGAAAGAAGAAAGGAAAAAAAGAAGGAATGTTAGAGGGATGAATGAGACAGACTCAGTGATACAGACTGGGGGCTCAAGTCTGAGCACACAGCTGGGGCAAGGCTTTCAAACATAACAGCAGTGAGAGATCCTGGAAGGCCAGTGTGAGGACTCAGGTGCACCTGACCAAGCCATGGTATTTTCAGTTACCTCATATGCAGGCGAAAGCTGGACAATGAATAAATAAGACCGAAGGAGAGTTGATGTCTTCAAATTATGGTGTTGGCAAAGAATACCGAATACATCATGGGCTGTCAGAAGGAAGAAGGTGTCCTGGTGGCATAGTGCCTAAGGCATTTGACCGCTAACCTTCTGGTTAGCGGTTCAAATCCACCAGCCACTCCGAGGAAGGAAAATGGGGCAATCTATTTCCATAAAGATTTACTGCCTTGGAAATCCAAGGGGGTCACTATGAGTCACAATCGACTCG